AGCGACACGACCCCTACGTACCAGCAAACGGCAAGCCTAGCTCCGGAGTGGTGACAGACTTGCCGGTACGGATAACACTCCGTTCTCCATATCATGTCAATTCTGCTTTTTGTTCCTTTTTCCCATGTGTATTCTTGCTTGTTTCTGTTCTGGTATCTATAAGTATCTATTAAGCCAACTTTCTCCATCACCTGTATCCATTTCTTTTTTGCTTTCCCTTCCCCTGTTCTCGTCCGATCCATATTGTCATTTATGGTTGTGTTCATGTCTCACATTACTACTTATGTTACGAATTGTTGTGTCTGCCATTTGTTTAATATCTTTTTTGCTTTGTTTATCATTTTGTCTTGTTTCGTGCCTTGTTGTAGTGATATATATATTTGCATAATTCCCATCTTTCTTCTTTTTTTGAAGGTGAACTCAATCGCCAGAATTCTATTCTCCCATTTAGTTATCTGAGTGGCGTGCTTTGCCCATTTCTTTTTTATGATCATGCCTACACCCCCTGCTTGCTCCCTTGTTGGTACCCATATCACTTTGTAGGTTATCGTGCCCATTATTCTGGTCCATACATTTTTTTTGAATTTTGTGTCTACTATCCCTATTATTGTAATCTGTTCATCCTCTATTAGTACTTGTATATTTTGTTGCTTGCTTGCCTCATTTAGTCCATTTACATTAATTGTTGCTATCTTTACCAAAGTGTTATCTGTTCTAATCTCTTTGTACATTTTTTTTTGCTTTTTATTGGTCATTGTTCTTGCTGTGTTATTTTTACTTATCATTGTTCAATTTGGTTTGGTTTATTGCCGGGTCTTCTATACCTTTGTGATGCTGCTCTGTCCTTGTTCTATCAGTTCACTTACTTTCTGAACTTAACCATTTATTTGAGCCTCTATTTTTAGTTGTCATTCTTTAATTATTTTACTATTCGCTTGATATCATTCATCTGTTTCTTGCTACTGGTTCCTCTATCGTTTCTCTTCCTGCCTATACTGTAATTTGCTTTCTTCGCTTTCTATTCTATTTTCTTCCTCTTGCTTCTCTGGAGTCTCCTCTATTCTCAACTCAGTGCACAATTTGTCAATGCATTTCTCTAATTTTTCTATTCTTTTCTCGAGTTTTGTCAATCTTGTTTCCATTGTCTCTCTGTTGCTTGTTCTCTTATATCTGGTGACTGACCTTTTTCTGCTGCGCTTGCGCATCACTTCTGCAAAGGTGATTGGTGCATTGCCTTCTGGTCTCTTTCTGAACCTTGATTGTATTGCTATGAATCTTGCTTGTGCTCTTTCTCTGTCATAGTGGATCTTTACTTCTCCACATTGGTATGCTATATGTCCATCCTGTCCACATTTGTAGCACAGTCTCTCATGTTCGTGTACCAGTTTTAAGTTTGTTTTCTCGAATTGAAACTCTTTACCCAATGCTTGCTGCCTATCCTCTTCTGTTTCAAATGCAATATATGCAAATCTTTCCCTAAAGTAGTTGATAGTTCCGGTATATACATCATTTTTCCCCCTACATTTTTGCCAATCTCTTCCAAGTCATATGCTGTTGGGCCTGCAGGCAAACCTGCCAGCTTTAGTGTGAAATCAGATCTTCTTTTTAGTTCTTCTTTTTCCCCTACCACTGGCAGGATTCTCAGTTACTCTTTTCCAAATGGGATTGACCACTGTTTTGCAAGAATTTTTGCAATCTTCTCATTCTGAAAAGTTACTGTGGCTGTTTGCCATATTTCCACTGTTCTAAAGTGGATACTTTTAATCTTCTCGAATTTCTTTAAAAGGATTTTGACAGCGCCCTCGCTTACTGCTAGTGGTATGTCTTTGATGATCACTTTTTGCCCCAAATCTCATTGTTGTAACACTTGTTCCATGGAAATCAAATATTTCCTATTTGATTTATCACTGAAGTTAATTTCACATGTCTGCTGCATGTCTATGGGATTACCAAATGTAGCAATGATCTTCTTTTGCCTGTTGGATTTTCTCACGACTCTGATTTCCAAGAAAGAGTCGAAGTGGTAGCATTCCTTCTCTACTATCTCTGCAAAGACTGCTGACTCTAAATCTGCTGGGATTTCCATCTCACCATGTGCCTTGGTTTCTTAGTGACTTCTCCCTAATAGTTACTTCTTTGTTCTAATTCATTTGACCTCTTTGTTACTGTCTTCCGCTCCTTTGCTGTTTCGTCTTTGATATCTTATGCCTTGTTGTTCCCTTCCTCTTCTCATTCTTGCTCCATTTCTATGTCTTGTCTGTCACTTGCCTCTTGCTTGCTTTGTTGCTGTTCTGTGAGTGGCTCCTGCTGATCCTCCTCTTCTTTCATTTGCTTCATCTTGCATTTTTCTTTCATGTTATCTGTACTTGCGCTTCTTCTGCCTGTCTCAAAAGTTTTTCTTTTTCTATTTCTACTCTGTTGTCTTGTAGTGGCTTTTTTGCTAATACTTGTTGTCAGGACTCTTGCTTCTCTTGTAGAGCTTATAACCTTTCGTTCTTCATTTCTTCCTCTGCTTGAGGTTGTTACTGTCATTTGTCTTCTTTCTATTTTCCACTGCTTGCCTTTTTTGATAATTTCTTACTGCGCTACTGCTTAATAGAAAAGAGTTTTTTTTATTCTGCTTTTTTTAAAATAATAATATTTATTTAATTTTGCTTTTTCTCTTATAAATGAAAATTTTAAGTGCAACAAATAATTCTCTAAGCAATTCTTTTGTGTAAATAGATGAACTAAACATAAATAATTAGATAAGAAGTAACTTACAATTAATTAAAATATTATAAAAAGACTGCAATTTTCCTTAGCTATAAAAAAAAAACAATTATTATAAATTATAAAATTTTAAATTCTTGTATTTTTTTTAATTTTTTTTTAATAAAATTATATTTTTCTATATTTTTCTTTTATATTTTTCTATTGTTTTTCTATTGAAATTCAGATTTTATATATTATCTTCGATTTTAATAATAAAACAAAGTTGTGAAATTGACTGAAACAATAATTTTGAATTGTTCATATTAATTTGTTTAATAAATTAAATTATTAAGAATTGAAAATTATTTTTATTAGTAATTTTGAAGTCCATCAAGAAAGAAACCAAAAGTTTTAATATATTTAAATATAGATTTTATCTTCTTTTAATTTTCTTTAATATTTTTTCAATTATTTTTTTTTATTCTTTTTTATTCTGTTTCTATTTTCTTTTTTTTCATAGGAACATCCTTTTACTATAAATCTAAATTAGCACAATTTTTTTTTTGCTCTCCTAAGGCAGTAACAAAATTCACTAGTTCAACTTCAAAATAGTTTAACAACTTCTCACAAGTTAATAACAATCTTATAGAAAATATACTTTCTCTATTAAACTCAAGAACTAAATTTTGGACCTTTATTAACAACAATATAATTGACCTAATCAAAGTTTGAAGAAATGAATATAAAAACAAATAATTAAAGGATATCATTATTAAATTTCTTTTAACAAACCTATTCTATTATACAATTGCAATATTTTTTAAGAGGCAAATTATGCAATAATACATGTTTTTTATTAATACTTAATATCTAAGTTATACATTAAACATCTTCTAAGTATTAAGTTACTATATTTTTATACTATTTATACATTATCTATATTTTCTATATAAGTAGAGTTAATACTGTCTATTGACTATTCCTAGTAATAACTAATTTAATCTACCTCTAATTCAGCTATATAAACTTATACCATAATTAATAATATTAGAAATATTATTTTCAGTTTTTTTAATAATAATAATATCTAATATAACCAACTTTTATTTTGATAATTCACTAGTTTCTTTGAACAAAATCAAAATAATAATGTAATAATTTTTAATAAAACATTATAAATTCTATATAAAGTATAAAAAGAATAAATAGATATTGTGTTTATATTATTGTTCTCAAGTATAAAATAAAAATAAAATCAAAGCTACAGAAATAAAGTAAATTATAAAACTAGTAATTTAATATTTTATAAAATAAATATCAATAAAGTTTTTGAATCATTGTTTCTAAATATTTGAATTTAGCAAAAATTAGTATCAAAAAAAATTCAAATGAAATAATATATAATTCTATTATTATTAAAAAATATTTTGTCATTTTAAAATACTAATTAATTTATTTTTTATTTTATTATTATTAATTTAATAAATCAAATTTTTATATATAATTTTTTATAAATGAAAAAAATTGTCTGTTAGAACAGTGTATAGGAGTTTTCATGATCCACACAAATTCGCCTGCACTGTGTGCTGCACAGGTAATGCATAGGCGCCACTCCCATGTATTATTTTGAGAAAAAAATCTCGCTAGTCGATGCATTAACTGTTAAAATTAGTTTAGTTGGTTTGAGTAATCAATTTAACTAATTACAGTAATGATCGATCTGCTTATATTGAAAGTGGACTGTGACGATAGAAAGCTAAAAATCACATTTAAAAAGAATAAAACCTTAGTACAGCATTTCCATTTTTAATAAATATATTGCTTCGATGCCTAGAAGTTAAATATTATTACTGTATATTGTATGTATCAAAACCCAGTACTGTAAACTGATTGTCAAAGTGGAACGAATTTTGTGCCACAATTACTATAATTATGCAAATTAATTAAATTAGTAATTATGGCGCAAAGATTCATTCCACAAAAATTGCGATTACCAAAAAAGTTGACCTATTTTAGTTAAAAAAATTGGTGCTACTTTTGCGGGCACTGTACAGCTGCAAATACAGTAAAACTCATTATATGAATTTTGTGTACCGTACCTACAGTAAATTACAGTAATAATCAAAAGATGTCTGAGGTTAGATGCGAGTGCTAACAAACAATGTATCATCCTTAGTAATTATTTCCCTATAATCATGAATAAAGAATTTATTCCCTCCAAATTTGCTTTCGATATTGTGGGCACCTATCTCCCCATAATCCAATCGATAAGTATTGTCGCTAACGAAATTAATTTTATTTATGTGAACGCGGAGTGCAATAAAGAGATATGTGGAATTATGACAAATCGAGTAAAATCCGCCGAATTTGCCCTTCAAATGACTATAAGGAACATAGTTGATGAAGAATCTTTTCGACAAAAGTCATATCAAGCGGCATTATTTCATTTTGAAAACATTTTGATAAATGTCAAAGAATTTACTAAGAAAGTATCAAAATTTAAAAGTTTTCGAAAGTTTTCTAATGCAGGAGAGGTTAAAAAAAATTTTGAAAAATTAACACTTGAATACGACGCATGTGTTAAAGATTTACATTTTGCTATTGATATCGTAAGCATGTTTGATAAGGAAGAAGAGTATCGAAAAGTAGACAAGGCTCTAAAAGACATCAACGAAGTACGGTATTTAAATATTTCTGATCATAAACATTACTTTGGTTTTTAACCTTACCTATTTTACAATATTATTTTAGACTCTTAAAATATTTTATGCCGAAACTCATGATTTTAAATGCGATGCTCATTATACAAATCACAAAGTTCAAGATGTTGATAACAAACTTGATATTTTGCAACGAAGAATTGAGCTTTTATATAAAACGCAATCTGATGACGAACTAAAAAAAATCGACTCAAGTGAATTGACTGATCCTCCCTATTCATCCAGGAACAATATTAGAGCCATTAAAAAGATTTATAAAACAATGGAAGTTGACTGCAAAGATATCAACCAATCTAATAATACTAAAAGTATTTTGGTAATACTCCAAAAATTAACTCCAGTTTTACCATACATTCTCCACTTTTATGGTCTTTCTAAAGTTGATACCAGAGATGTCATGGTTTTTGAATGGGCCGAATACGGATCCTTAAAAGATCTTTATGATTCATATGATATTCCTTGGGGTAGAAAAATTCAAATTATTCGAGATATCTGCCGTGGCCTTGTGTGGTTGCGTAGTTTTGATCTTTACCATCACGATCTTAGATGCGAAAATGTATTAGTAAGTAATATCGAGGTTTATGTTACACAACAATGTCAAACAATATTTAACGTGGTAATCTTTAGGTACTGCGCAACTTAGACCCAAAACTTGGAAACTTTAAACACGCACATATGAAAGAAGAAGAAATCAAAAAAATTTCCGATGCAGCAACAACCACTTTTAATTGGATGGCTCCAGAATTAATCCAAAAATACAAAGAAGGAAAATATAAAGAAAACATTTACAGATTTAATTGCGAAATGTTCAGGTATTCAGCGTTTAATATAATAAAGATCATCAAAAGTTTTTCATTATTTAAATTAGTTTTTGAAATTAGTTTTGGAATGCTGATTTGGGAGCTTTGTTATGAAAAGCTGCCTTATAAAAATTGGAATCCTGTAAAAATCTCTAACCACGTTTTAGGTGGTAACAGAGAAAGACTTGTGCGTGGAAAATTTGAAAATACCAAAGACCTGAAAATTCAGGAAAATTTTATTACCATAATTGAAAATAGTAAGTACAGATAATTAATTTCAAGTATTTAAATTTAATTTAATGATCTGTTTTCTCGACCAATAAATAGTGTGGAAACAAGTACCGGAACAAAGAATAGAAGTTACAAAGCTTCATTTAATACTTGAGGAATTGGCACTGAGTTATCAGATTCGAGTAGAAGAACCTATGCTATTAAAAGATGGAAATTACAATTTCGAGGGAGAAGAAGAAGATGCGACGTCAATTAACTTGGTAATAAATTTTGAAAAAGGAATTGAGCTTCATAAAGAAAAAAACTATAAAGAGGCATGGAAATGTTTTGAGGAAAATGCAGATCTTGGAAACATCTCTGCAAAATATTGGAAAGGATACTATTTATCCAATGGGTACGATGGTGTTGTTAAAAAGGATAAAGAAAAGGCCATGGAGCTTCTTAAAGAGGCAGCTGATAATGGCGATCCTTATGGATATAAGCTAGATGATGCACAGTTTCGATATGTTGGATTGTTGATAGAGAGTCTTAAAAATAATGCTGACGATGAAGACACCAAGCAAGATAAGCGCAAAAAAATTTTGCACTATCTTAAATTAGCTGCAGACAATAATAATGTTACGGCAATGCAACTTCTAGGGGATATTTACATTAATGGAAAACTTGAGGTGCAAAAAAACGAAGAACTCGGTTCGTTGTATTTAAAGTTGGCAAAAATCAATATGAATTAACTTAAAATATATGATGAAAATATAATTTGCTTTCTTTAAGTTATCCAGCATCAACAGATGTTTTCACCTATTTATATTATACTCTGTGTCTCCAATGTACTGATTAGTCAATATTTGACTGTTTGTATTAAAGTTTACTTTAATTTGTTAAAAAAATTTTTAACTTATTAAAATTATAATTAATAGTAAAAATATAAATATAAATTTATTAAATGAAAATTAGAAACTATAAAAATTGTATTTTAATAGAGGTATAATTTTTATCTAAAGTAGTCATAAAAGACGATCCCTTATATCTTTAGATTTAAATAATTATATATAATAAAAAAGCAATTATGTTTTACATAAATTCATATTTAAATAGTCAAGAAATTACTTAATTTAAACACATAAATTTTTTTTATTTAATAATAAAGTTGTATAAGAGAATAGGGTTTTATTTTATAACTTTTAATAGTGCTTAGCAAAAATAGTTTATTAATTTATTAAACTGTAAGATTTTATAATTATTTCTTACTGCCAAGTAAAACAAGTAATATATAATGAAATAAGACTTCAAACTCAAAAACCATAATTAGCTTAACTCCTTCAAATAATCTACTCAAAATTAATAACAATTAAGCTTTGACATCCAGCTCAACAAAATTCAAACTAATATTAACTTGTTAGAAACAATAACAAGAATAACAACAATAACAAGGACCTATTGTGAACGTGATTTTCGGCAAGTCTGTCGCTTCTTGTACTAGCACTCGCGTAATGTTCAGGTGGGTAGGTTTCTTTAGTCGAGGCGTGTGATTTGACTTGGCCGGGTTTTCTTTTAA